CAGGTTTATCTATTGTGGACAAAGCAGGTCAGCCACTGGACACAGGGATCTGGATTGAATATTGTGAGTCTATTGAGTGACCACATATTAAAAAAAAAACGTTCTTGCAACAGAGTAGCACGATTTACAACATCACTGGTTTGAGTGTGGGCCTCAAGCAAGAATCCTTGTATAAAGAGATTTGCTCATAACTTAACTCTTGTCACATTCACCCACTTCTTTTAGGTAGAAAAGAAAATCAGGAGTGGTCCAGGTCTGTTGTACAAGTCACACAATCTGCCCTAATTTGACTTAATAATTACAATCCCTTAATCCTTAATTTAGGTTATAGAAACAAATGCCAGTATGAAATTAAATAAAAGTTAATAAAAATTAATATTATTGCAGTCTGATCACGTGCATCAATAGCTCAATAATACTGAGAATATTTATTGTACTACACCTGCTGCCCCATTGTTATCACAACACTCAATGGCCCATTACTACTTATCTTGTTACATCTCAGTGGGCCTCTACTCACTTATTATGAGGTTCAGTAGGTTATCATACCACAGACCTTTATTATTGTTACCACAACAACAAACATGGATTCTTCCTGCGTGATTAGGTTTAGGCAGTAAAACTAAGTGGTTAGGTTTGGGAATAAATTGTGACCTGGATTAAAATGGTCATGGACGCAAAATATAATGTTTCACAGTGGAATCAAACACTATTCGCATGTGGAAATGTCCATTGATTTCTCACCCCATCTTGCTCCTCTGAACTTGGGCTGTCTCCTTTTATATACAGTACTACACCACCGAATTCACTTCCTGCCATACTTACTATGGCCACTAGAGGTCAATGACGTACCACGGGGTGCACATTCATTAATGATAATCTCCTGGCCTCCTGGGAGGTACAGGAGGACCCTCCTCAACCATACATGTGGTCATGATAATGAGTGATAAATGCCATTCAGTGGCAATGCAACATGAGTCTGTTGGCTGCCGGAGTCTTTATGGAAGTGACTGTCCAGGTGAACATCCATCATAACGCCCAGTGTAACCTTTAGCTATAATGAGATGTACGTATGCTGATGTCCATTTCCATGACTCTGGACCTTTTTTGCATCTATCAAACCGTCCCCTCTGCCTCACAGTGTTGACAGCTTTAATAACATTCTGTAAAATTGTTTCCTGAAAACTACTGGCACTGTTGTTATGCTTTGTCTGCTGATTTCCAACACAACCCCACAGTCTTAAGTTTTTCTTTATACTCTTGGGGGTATTTTTTGCGTGGACGTACCCCATTAAAGGAGCTGAACATTTAGCGTTGTACCAATTTTAACATGAATGTGTACTTATGAACAGGAGACAATGATAATGTTGAAATGAGCAGTTTATGACAAAATTGTGCAGTTATGTAGGTTTGCTTAATCTGACTTGTAACACTTGTAATATGAGCAGACCTCATAGGAAAGATGAATGTGTTCAAGCAGGAGGCCCACTGTTAACATGCCTGAATATGTGGCTTGTTGTTTAACAAATCAAATGATCGGCAGAATCAATATGTGCTCTCATGTGCCTTAAAATAACGTACTGTCCCAAACAACTAACAATGTTTATACTGTTTCATCTACTGCTTTGCATTAGTTTTGTAATCATGTTTACAGTTCCTGCACATGCATTGATAAGTTCAGAGATACAAGCTAAGAGCACAAGTCTGTTGTAATAACTGCTCTCAGCTATTCCAAATATTTAAGGACTTCACTATCTTATGAGATCATCAGACTCTAAAAACTGCCGCTCACATAAACTTTTCATAGAACGCTCTGGATCAAAGTTCACAGGTGCAAACAAGTTGACCATTCATGTGTAACAAAAACAGCTGCATCTGCTACTATGTCAGTGAGATGAGTTAACTGAGTACTGGAAAAATGTTTTAAAAGTGAACATGGTATGATACTTGTTATAAAAAATAATTAGCAAACAGAACAACAAAGAAACTGAACAACAAACAGGTGATACATCAGTTTAAGGGTTTTTAAGGGAGAGCTCAGAAATGTTTGCATATCTGAGCAGCCATCTGGAGTCTGAAAGAAACGGATGATGGCCACAGTTTACAGTAAACATGGTGGAGGCAGCTCTGGAAATTTCCTGGTAATAGTGAAACATGAGGTGAGCAGGCAAGCAGCAAAAATTATGGTGTTCTATTGTTTAAAAAGGTTTTCTTAAAAAAGCTTTTATTGACAAAATGAAATATAAATACAAAAAAGATTAAAAAGATAAATTCCCTGTTTTCGTTCCAATAAAATACTACAATAATCAGCCCTAACTGTAACAAACACCATTTATACACAGATCACTGTCAACACATACATGTAGTTGTAACTAAATCTGAAATATTAAAAGTTATCAATACATAAAAAGGGAGGTTTGAGTGGAGGAAACTGCTGAAGATCTTTGCATGAGATCATCAACGGCGTAACAGAAGTATCAGATTATAATGGATGCCCTCTTGTTTTCAGGTATTTACACATAATGTTCCAGTGACTTACTAAATGTGTCACTGTATTTGAGATGATGGTGTGAAGGGAAGTAATCACTGTGGCATTCAGCTTTCCATGCTGACTAAACAGGATTGACTGTAGGAATTTAGGGTGGAGCAGCGGCATGACTATAGAGATGAGTTTCTGTTTGGAGTACTGATCAAATCTCTACACCATGTTTTTCCAGTTCCAGTGCTATTCATTTCATTTAAAACATCTTTCCATGCTTTGCTTTGTCTGTCAGGCCTTTACTGTGGTTTGTGGCAAGCAGTTACTGCGGTGCCTTAGTAAAGATTTCTTAACCATTGTTAAATGATGGGAGAGGTTTATTTATTCATGATCCCTGCCTGGATTTGCCAAAGTATAACAAACAAGTGACCTCCTGGACAGGATGATGTGCTGGTTGCGTGACTGGAATTTCACAGGTTTGATCCCTGCCATTACCTAACATACAGATTTAAGGTGAAATGAACCAGCTCTGTATAGCAGAGTCCTTGGCTACAAAAGACAGAACTTCACTAATCCCAAGCCCAATGTTTTATGAACAGTACCAGAAAGATTTAATGGCACTGGCTGGGTCCACCGGTAAGACATTTGCTTCAGTCCCAGAATCAGCTTTTTTTCATAAATCGGTGCTATTGATCACCCTTTATGTCTGTCTATGGGTTTTACAAACATTTAACCAATGAAAAGCATTAAGAAGGGCTTGTGACTAAATCTCATAACTCCACTGAATCCCGAAACTGTCGGCAAAACCTCATATGATTTAGGTACAATGTTAATATTGATATAACACACACAGGTAAGTGACCATATAAAGATACAATACCAACTTTGACAATGTGATGTAGAATTATTTTAGATACATGGGTTTTTTTAATTTCCTGAAGAGGAGCGGTTTTGGAGATATGAGGTTTCTGCCCGACAGCGACAATATGATAGTTACTTTATTGTCCCCTTTAGGTAACTTTTCATGGGCTGCTGCATTAGAAATGCAAAAGGTTTCTTATCAGGACAACATTCTCCATTTTTCTGAAGGGGACACTTCCTTAAAGTCAAACTGATTGATTGAGATGGAAACTGAACAAACTAGGTGTTTGAGGAAGTCGAGAAGAGGTTGCTATTTTCGCACATCAGGGCACAATGCGGGTGATCATGTAATGGCCTCGCCCTCCCCTCACTCGGTTTGATGCTTATTGACTATAATAAGTTCTGGCTGAGTGACGAGAAAAGAGCGCAGGATGGACCAGTTTGTCCGGTTTGTTCCCTCAGGTCCTGTCCACAGGTATTTTTGTGGCAGCGTCTCAGTGCAGACATCACCGTGACAGGACGACCAAGGTGAGAAAAGTGTGCTCTTTAGGATCACCACACAATTTAAATGCTTGTCTATATATTAGATTTTATTATTTCTAACCTTGGATATTTGTCTCCTGTAAGGATTTGATGCTTTTTTTGTAAAACTCTGTCAACTTTGCTTTAAAGCCAACATGCTATAAAATACTGAATTATACTTTACTGTGTACTGTTTAAGTATCTAAGGTTGAGTTTCTCGACCTTTTGTCAAAGATGAAATTTTCCAAGAGATTTTTTTTACCATTTACACAATCAGGTATCAATTGTTATTGTTTTTTTGTTGTTTTTTATTGTTCAGAATTTGGCCTCGAGTCCGCAATAAAGTTTTTATCTATTTAAAAAAGTAAATCCATTGGCTATAAATATATAATTTTCATTTGTAAAGTATAATTAAGAGATTTATACATTACAAATGTGATCCCTCAAATGTCTGAGATGATTTTAGGCTCTAAAACTGGAGTTTCACTTCATAAATTTTGTGACATGTTAAGAAATCTCAAAAAACATGTCAGCAATACAATTAGGCTCAGGTTACTTTACGTTACAGTAACCTGAACCTGATCAAGTCCATAGAGCTGACAACTGTGAATGTGAGGAGAACCGATTCAAGTCAGTGAGAGAGCTCTTGAGCACTTTCACCAGTGCATGTAGAGTGCTGTGAATCCAAAGTTCAGACTTCCAAATTTATGATTCTTCAGCCTCTGATTATCTGCACAAATCATGATTACCAGGTCACCCATTGTAGCTTGTTTTTCATAGGGCCTTAAACCACGAAGCTCTCTGAAGTGCAGGAAAAAGTTGGCTCCACATTCATATTCTGTTTGGCCAAGCTGCATTACATAACTGTATTTTCCAGTCTATCATCTTTAATGACAAAACTGGTTTGTAATTCCCCTCCTAAACAAAACAAACTATTTACTTCCGAGCCACTTTGAATCAAGCAGCATTCTTTGTCAGTGCCTTTTATTTATAATAAAACCAAAAATAACACTGTTTTCTGCTCCAACACTGCTGTGGTGAAGGCTTGGTTACGTTTAGGCACAGTGACTTGGTAAGGAATAATCATGGTTTGGATAAAACTTAACACATAATCAAGGTTAGGGGTTCTTCCTTTCTCAGAGAAACCACTTGTTTCAGGATAAACATTGTGGATATAAAAAAAAAACACTGTCAATAGAAAAAGAAGGTTACAATATTTCATTTTTTTTGCTGCAGATAAACAGGAGTCATTTTTTGCTGCAATGGGTGTGTGCAAAACTCTTTTACTTGAAAGAGGTGTTTTAACTTCCACCTTGGCCTTAGTCAGAGTAACTGATATGTTTGTTTAACCAAAAAACAAAGTCAATAAAGTGACAACAACCTTTGAAAGACTGGAATGTACAATTATGTAATTGAAGTTGGGCAAACAAAATGTGTATGTGGAGCCAACCTGTTTCCTCATTTCAGAGAGTTTCCTTGGTTTGTACACAACCAAACTGAAATACTTATCAGTGTACTATTTTTATTTTGTATTCTTTCTTAAAGTGGAATGATTTTATACTTAAAACTATTTTAAAAATGTAAAACTGTGTTACATACTGACGATTTTCTCAATTACAAAATATTTCTTATATATGTGTGTGTATATGTATAGTGACATTGTAGCAGAGGTATCATTCATTGTCTACACTTTGCGTATACTTGTATTTTACACATGTGACATTAATAAACGTGCTTGACACAAGATCTACAACCTGGTCCCTTAGACGCCATCATGTCTTCCAAGCTGGTCATCAGGCAGCCTCAGCCTGTGATGGATTCCAGAGAATCTGATGAGTGGGGGTCTGGGATATGTGACTGCTGTGACGATGTGCCTGGATGTAAGTGTCTGTGCTTATATGACATACATACACAGGTATTTACACCAGTACAAGTGCTGCATGACCAAATAAGTTTATGAAAGAAGTCAATCCTGATTTAATCTGTTAATTAATATACATATTTTTCAAAGATGATTTATAAAAAGTGTTCTCTAAAAGACATCTAATAAATAGACTGCATATAAAAAGGGACATCATGTCACCACCTCCTGCCAGTATGCATAAGTTGGGACATCCATTATCTATACCGCTTATTCCTGAATAGGGTCGCGGGGGGCTGGAGCCAATCCCAGCTGACACTGGGTGAGAGGCGTGGTCCACTCTGGACAGGTTGCCAGTCTGTCTACATGTCAACCCTGTGATAAACAATCACACACACTCACACTCATTCCTACGGGCAAGTCAGAGTCACCAATCAGCCTAAGCTGCATGTCTTTGGACTGTGGGAGGAAGCCGGAGCACCTGGAGAGAACCCACGCAGGCACAGTGACTTGGTAAGGAATAATCATGGTTTGGATAAAACTTAACACATAATCAAGGTTAGGGGTTCTTCCTTTCTCAGAGAAACCACTTGTTTCAGGATAAACATTGTGGATATAAAAAAAAAACACTGTCAATAGAAAAAGAAGGTTACAATATTTCATTTTTTTTGCTGCAGATAAACAGGAGTCATTTTTTGCTGCAATGGGTGTGTGCAAAACTCTTTTACTTGAAAGAGGTGTTTTAACTTCCACCTTGGCCTTAGTCAGAGTAACTGATATGTTTGTTTAACCAAAAAACAAAGTCAATAAAGTGACAACAACCTTTGAAAGACTGGAATGTACAATTATGTAATTGAAGTTGGGCAAACAAAATGTGTATGTGGAGCCAACCTGTTTCCTCATTTCAGAGAGTTTCCTTGGTTTGTACACAACCAAACTGAAATACTTATCAGTGTACTATTTTTATTTTGTATTCTTTCTTAAAGTGGAATGATTTTATACTTAAAACTATTTTAAAAATGTAAAACTGTGTTACATACTGACGATTTTCTCAATTACAAAATATTTCTTATATATGTGTGTGTATATGTATAGTGACATTGTAGCAGAGGTATCATTCATTGTCTACACTTTGCGTATACTTGTATTTTACACATGTGACATTAATAAACGTGCTTGACACAAGATCTACAACCTGGTCCCTTAGACGCCATCATGTCTTCCAAGCTGGTCATCAGGCAGCCTCAGCCTGTGATGGATTCCAGAGAATCTGATGAGTGGGGGTCTGGGATATGTGACTGCTGTGACGATGTGCCTGGATGTAAGTGTCTGTGCTTATATGACATACATACACAGGTATTTACACCAGTACAAGTGCTGCATGACCAAATAAGTTTATGAAAGAAGTCAATCCTGATTTAATCTGTTAATTAATATACATATTTTTCAAAGATGATTTATAAAAAAGTGTTCTCTAAAAGACATCTAATAAATAGACTGCATATAAAAAGGGACATCATGTCACCACCTCCTGCCAGTATGCATAAGTTGGGACATCCATTATCTATACCGCTTATTCCTGAATAGGGTCGCGGGGGGCTGGAGCCAATCCCAGCTGACACTGGGTGAGAGGCGTGGTCCACTCTGGACAGGTTGCCAGTCTGTCTACATGTCAACCCTGTGATAAACAATCACACACACTCACACTCATTCCTACGGGCAAGTCAGAGTCACCAATCAGCCTAAGCTGCATGTCTTTGGACTGTGGGAGGAAGCCGGAGCACCTGGAGAGAACCCACGCAAGCACAGGGAGAACATGCAGAATCCACACAGAAAGGCCCGAGCTCAAACCCAGAACCTTGTCACTGTGAGGTGACGGTGCTAATCATTGCACCTCTGTCCTGCCAAAGCGAGGCCAAAATACTGCAAATATGGGCGTGGCCATCTTATATTTGGCAACAAAAATAAATCAGTTTTTAAAAAAGACTTAAAAACAGACAGAGAAGAAGCTTGTCTGATGGGCAGCGGTAAATCGTTCCAAAGTTTGG